ACCGTACTTAGAGAAACTGCACTGCATATGAAAGAGTCTAATCATTACATTGAATTACACTGAACAGTAATACTTTTAGGGCTTGCCTACCCATTGAGCTCTTCAGGATTAACTCCCTGTATGAACACACTTATTCCAGAATAAGAGTGCCTTGTGTTAATCTGAATATAGGAACAAGACTTTCTTATTGCAGAAGAACACACACACACACACACACACACACACACACACGTATTAATCACTTTTGCTTTAAATTCATACCCTACTTTAATCAGAAAACTTTCAAATGAAGAGCAGTGCTTAAGTTCTAACACTGAAAATGTATCTGCATGGGTGGATCTGTGAATCCATACAGAACGCCACTAAATCAAGGGACCATCTGTGAAATTACCTTTACAGGATTGTAGCCTTATAATTCTAAGAATCTGTGCTTTAGAAACACCAGACACAAAGAGAACTATAATAATTCACTAATTTAGTAGCTACCTGATGGTGACAAAGTTTAGGATGCTCAGCAATGATCTGAATTATAGAGGCTGCCCATCATGCTTTTGAGAGTACAGAAACACACTTACCCTGAAATAGGGAAATGCAGACAAAGGGCTAACTCAGACAACTGCATGCAGAACATATAACCTTATAAAATACAACCAGATCAGATTGCAATTAAAGGCTTGGTTAGCACTTATATAAAGATCTCCAACTTGCTGCAGGAAGTACTTTTGGTATTTGAGGTTAAAGACATGGAAATGTGCACTGATTTATTTAAACTATTACAGACCCCCACATGGATGCTCACATTTCATTTGAAGAATGATTATTTCCATTTTAAGTTCAATCTGTCCCTAGCTGACTTAACCTAAACTGAAAGAGGAGTATCCATTCTTTCACTTGTGCAGATTTCACCAACACAGCTTGTATTTTTTGGGAGTCATTGTTAACAAATCTCAGAACTACAGTAATAAGCATCAAGGGCATTTGTAAGATTTCCATGAATGTTGGCTGTTTTTCTCTTGGAATTTAGAAACATGATGCACAAAGGAATCAAACAGAGAAACAATTATGATTCACAACGTCCTTTGGCACAGTGCACTTGAGAATTCCAGAGATTACAAGCTCTGCTGTGAATCTAGCAAACTAAGTCCCAAACTATATATTTATTGATATTGCAAGTGACAATGTAATGGAGTAGCCTGTAAATTCATTGAGCCCACAAACATTTATTAACGACGTGAAAGACTTGATAATATTAAATATCTTACCTGGAATCTTTGAACAATCCTAAAATGAACTCAGATGTAAACTAGGAAGTTAACACATAAAGTGTAGGCAAATTCCATAGGCACCATCTGCAGATCTTTTAAGATAAACAGCAATAAGCACAAACTTCACAAGGTTTACAGATTGGGCCTATAGATATTTTTTTTAAAAATGGGCCACAATTTATGGATTATGCACTTATGTAGCAACAGCTGTTGACTTGATAAACTCTAGAGCAGTAAGACCATCTAAGAAATAGGCGATGCCTGCATATTTTAAAAAGCTCTGTAGTAAAGACCAACAAATCCTGAATGTTTCCTAGTCAAATGTTATGCACCCCACACTGGCCCCCGAACAAGACCTTTCTGACTCCCCGAACTTGGTGTGTCTACAGTGCTTCTGGCTTTCTATAATCAAGGACAGTAACTTAACTAATTGTATAGATACCCTATTTTTCTCCCCCCACCTTCAATTTGCCTTCAGTGCTAACTACCACATCTGCATTTATGATTTCTTAAAAACTAGAGAAGTATAAATTCAGTTTATTTCTATAATATCCCTTCTTTTTACCAGATTTGTTGGCAAACATTAAATAGAAATGGAACCCACTGAATGCCAGTGTCTGCTCTCAGCTATACTGATGTAAGTCCAGAATCCACTGAATTCAATGGATTTACAATGGGGTAACTGATAAACAGACTTTAATAAACCTATAAACCATAATTTTAAATTTCAGAAAACAAATAGCCTGAGATCCCCAAATAACAAGTAAATATTAATACATATTTTAGATGAAAGGTAAACAGATTTAAAAGAAAGGAGAAACAATTTCTTTCTACACAAAAGCAACTGAAGTTATTGAAGTGGATGTCTGAAAATATACAAAGAGAATCCACAACTGGCAAAAGTTTTTTCAAAATAAAAAAAACTTGTGGTGAATATCAAGAAAGCTAAAGTCATTACATGCTGTTTTCTAATGATAATTTAAACAAATTAAGTTACAACTAAAGTTACAATTTGTGATCTGGGTGCATCAAAATCAATTAAATGTGAGGAAAATAAAAGTGGAGAGGCATGACTTTTCACCTTAAATTGTTGCTTTATGGAAGAACTGTATTTTTATTTATTTTGTATTTTCCAAAACAAGAAACAAGTAAGTGACCAAGGAACATAAGTAATTACAAATCACAGTTGGCTGAACATTCCTGTCCTTGCTATAATAAATGATGAGCCTATAGTTGCTGCTCCTTTCTTCTTCAGTATACTATTTGCTAGCTAGAGAAAACCATTAAAAAAATTGGAGGTGTAAACACGTTCTAGCTTTTTCACTTCATTAAGTCATGTATCATTTCTACGTAGGTGCCACAGAGCTATAAATCACATAAGACAGAATGAGAGCTAATTAAAGAGTCAGCTAAGTACATAATTTTGAACTGTTAGGCGTCAGACACTAAAATTGACAACTGTATAGAAAATATTGCCAAATATTAAAGAATTTTCAAGCAGAGACTTATTTTTTCCTGAGACAGAAATGCATATTAAAAAAAAGCAGAAAAGCTGTGTGAAATTCATCAACATTCAGATTTTAATTGCACAGAGCCTCAGTTTCAGAGTTTATTTTCTCATAGCAACCAGCCACCTCACATGTTTAAAGCATTTAGGGTTCAGGTCTACTTTCCTTGTATGCCCTAAAACAGTGTTTCTCAATCAGTGGTACAAGTGCCCTTAGGGGTACTTGAGAGAAGTCTGGGGCGGTACATAAGCACAACTGAAATTTGGAGAAAACTGAATTTTTGTTATAAGTTTTATAGCGCTTTGTTATTTTTATACTTTTTACACCCAAAAATTTTATCGGCTGCCCAGCTACGATTAAGTTGTTTAAACAAATGTGTTGCAATGTTAGAAAAGAAGTGTGTGTCTGAAAACTGTAGGTACTGGGGGTACTTTATAAAAAAAAAAGGTTGAGAAACACTGCCCTAAACTCACAGAGACATCAGGACAATAGGAGGAGTGTGCAGAGGAGAGGAATACAGTACTTGGCTCGTCCTATACACATGGCAATAAAAAGCTCTGAGCAAATGCATCTAAGATTGGAAATAGTTTAAGTTTAAACATAATAGCTCATAATTTATGTATAGATTTCCTTGAGATATAATAATTCTTTAAAAAAATGGATTACATTTTACCAGAGGTTTTCAGTGTGTGGGGTGCACCTGCCTAAGGGGGCAAGGAAAATTTTTTTTGGGGGGGGGGGCGGGGAGAGTGGGGCAGGGAGAGTGGCAGGGCTCAGGGGAGGAGTGCTGCTTCCACCCTCAGGTTCACTTCAATGGGCCACCCAACCTGTCTGGTTTGCCTCCCCTTCCTTTAGTTACAATTTTTAGTAGTGCTTCCCAACCCAGACAGGCTGGGTGGCCCACTTAGGTTAATTGGGGGGTAGAGGTAGCACTCCCTCCCTGAGCCCTTCCCATAGGGCCTGACAACACCACTTGACTGGACTTCCAAAAATTCCTCTGCACCCTCGTGGTGTGTGTGTGTGTGTGTAGAATCTGAAAACATCTAGAAGCTTTTTCTAAACAAAAAGCAAATCTGGGTGGCCCTATGACTCCCATATAGGGTTGCAAGGTGTCCGGTATTGGCCCTAGCAGTCCGGTATTTGTGACCTATCGGGTTAAAAACAAAAAAAATACCTGACGGGTAAAATATTTTTCTTGGACGGAAGGCCACTTGGGATATTCTTTCCCTGCCACATCTGACGGGGCGGGAGAATTTTTTGTTTGTTTGCTCAACCAATACCATGTTCGGTATTTTTTGTGAAAGTATCTGGCAACTCTACCCCCATCTGAGAAAGGTGGGAATGTTGTAAACCAAATTATTTGGAAAGAGTTAAAAAGAGTTAGAAATAACTGCCTTATAATATTGTATTATTTGTCCAATGCTCTGTGATCAGCTGGTAAATGAGCTTATTACATTCCAGGGGTTGGAGCTTAAAGTGCTATATGAATTTTGAATTTACTGGCTTTGTATAACTAAAATCTTAACCTTTTGAAAGCACTGAAGTATTATTACTTTTGTAGTAATGCCTGGGAGCTCTAGTCATGGTCCAGGAGGGATCTTATTATGTTAGGTGCTTTACACAAGGAGGGAAAAAAAAGACACCCTGCCCCCCAAAACATTGCTATGTAATTTAAGTCAAGTTTTCTTTTAATTTCTTTATTTAAATATCCAGTTTCTGTATAACTGAAATTACTGAAGAAATTCACTTCTGACCAAAGACACACGAACAGTTTCAGCTCAAAAAGGTAATTATTTCAGCACACAAGGACTTTGATTTGATACCTGCAGGCAATGGTTTGGTACAGCCCACTGTGCTTTATTCTCAATGTTCATGACTCTGAGGTTTCCCAGACAAAAATCCTTCAGACAAGGCAAAACATATTCCTCATCACACAGAATTCACAAGCCAAGTTTTAATACATCTGGTTTTAAGTGGTTCTACTGAACAGAAAACCATTTAAAACATCTCAGCTAGTGAAAAACAGTCATTTCATGTCTGAATCACTCAAAATCTGTTATTTAAATACTGACAACCTGAGTCGTCAGGTTTCCACTCAACACTTTATATGTCCCAGAGAGAAAACCAATTGAGGAGGTGGCCTCTCAGAGAATCCCCTTATATCATGAGAGGAGGGGGGACAACTTGTCCCTTTCCCTTCCCCCTGGAATTAGATTGCAGATCTTACCTTTTAAAACGTGGAGTATCTGACAGGACCTGCAGGAAGCTTTATCCTTCAAATTTGCTCTGCCATCCTTCTCTGTGCATTTGACATTACTTTTCATACAGTTTCACCATTTCTGGGAATACTCAGTTAACAAGAAAAAAATAGAAAATATAAAATTAGGGAACAGACTGTTTTTAAATGAATAAAAAAATCTGATATTGCTCCCAAGGGAGTAATTTGAAATTTCCTTTTTATAATTAGCCCATTTAAAAATTTAAGTTGCAGTATTCCTTTAAGTTAAACAACACAAACACACATCCTTTGGGTATGATCCCAAGCATAAGGCAATTCAACCTCAAGAGTTCTTTAAATCTTTTAATTAAGTTCTGAGGACCTGAAGAAGAATTCAAGTTGCTCACCTAATAAGCTGGTACAGTTAGTATAAACACCTATACAACTATACTGAAGTGCTGCAGTAAACAAGAAGCAGAAAAATTCAAAAACTTATGAGTTAGATCTCAAAATAATGAGTTTTAAGAAACTCAGTTTGGGGTTCTTTATTTGTTTTCCATTTAGGTGTCTTTAAGGTGCACTTGTGTTTTGTTCAAGTTTTTTCTCTGCAATCATGAGGGCTAACAAACTTTTTAGAAGGGAGAAAGGGACAAAATAAAGCTTAAATGCTCATGGAATAACATGAGTCGAGGAGCAAGGTTTTAAGGAAAAACACCAATGCTGCAATTGGAGAGAAAGATTGCAACAGAGAAAATGGGGAGTAAATACTTGAAAATTGTAATATAGTATATACAAGGGGAGAGACTAAACTGACCACAAAAACCTTGAAGAAATAAGAGCAAAGACAGAGAGGAATCAAAATCTAAAAGGATGAATCAATGTAAGGAAAACACACACAGAAAGAGACATCAAGACAGGGGAAATGTATGGCCTTCCAACTAAAAGCCAATTTCTACCTCACCATGACCCAAGAAAATTTGATTAAAAAATATTTCCCATTGATTTAAATAATTTTGCTTTTCTCCTCATTCCATGGCTATTGCACTTTTTTGAAATTTCACATACAGAATGTACACTTGTTTTGAATTATAAAAAGAGCCAGACATGTCATGCGAAGCATTGATGATGATGATGATGATGATTATACTTTGGTAGTACCTGAAGTCCATATACAGTCTGAGCCCTATTGTTCTGGGTACTACTACTAACATACAACAGATGATCACATTTCCCACAGAAAGAGATAATGGCCCTCTTTGAAAGCTCATGTGGAGAGGACAGAGGGACTGTATTACGTATGTTTTTTTAAATTAAAAACATAGGAGAAAAATAATTTTAAACAAACCAAAAACATTTTGTTGAAAGAAAGAAAAATTCAACCATTTTTTGAATAAAATGGAAAAGTATTAAATTTTGTTTCATTTTTGGCACAACAACAACTCTGGTTTTGCCAGAAAAAAAACTCATCCATAAGGAATGTTTTGCGGGGTTTCCTAAAGACAGACAGAGAATCTGGATTCCTCTAATATCTGGAAACATGTTGCTCAGTTGCGCCCTCTCCGTTAAGAATGCCTTGCTCCACAGGTTCTCTGAAACATCGCAAGTGATGTCTCAGGGATTTGACCAAGTAAGTTTTAAGTGGTAGCTTGTGAATGAGATTCCTAGGGAGTAGATTTCACGATGAGAAAATTTCTGACCATCTTTTAAGCCGCCTACACCAAACCCTCATTCAGTTAGAGATTCAAGCCACTGGCTAAATCAAACAATATAAGAGTTAAGACAAGTTGATGTGGCTTTCTTGTTCCTACTCTCTTTTCTTCTTTCTATTCGAACTATGATAGTAATTGTCAAGTTATTTCTGATGTGACAATGACACTTGCCCTTAGCCGACAAATGCAGTTATTTCATGCAGAACTGCCTACATCACCGACTATGTTATCAACATTGGACATGTTTTTGTCTGTACTTGGATTTAACTGAAAAAGTAGGTGCAGCTTTCTGAGTTTCTCCTCCCCAGATGCACCTACCCCATATGCTCTTGGGTTAGTCAGCAGAAGTTAGACATATTTTACCTTTCTTCCAAAGAAGAGGAAGAAAGCAGACACACAACCTTAGGTGAATCCAGGCCTGCTTCACCTTTAGGGATGACTGTTTGCTTCACATCACAAACAGTTTGGGCACCCAGCTGCAAAATGAAACAAAGGTCCACTGCCTGCCCTGATTGGGGCTTCTGGTTTTTCAAAGCTAGATCAACACAGCAACAGAAAACTGGCCGTACTGGCCTATATCAAGCATGCACTTCCTCCTTTAATGTTAATTTTATATATACTTCACAATAAGCATAAATTTATTTATAGCATGAATAATTAGTATATGTAGTAGTATACTTCTTATTAGCATTGCCTGTGTCAGGGCTGATCCTCTCTCTGGCACTCTGAGTGCAGAAGATGGGGGCCCGCAAGAAATCTTAAATGCATTGCCTCTATAGGCTCTGCTTACAAAAACTGTCCCGAGTCACACATGCACTGGCTCTGGGGGGGGAGGGGGGGAAGCTGCCATCATCAAGTGATTTACCCTAAAAAGAAAACAGAGGGGAACACTTGAATTCCTCCCCCAATGGTACCGAAAGCTCTTTTGCTGCAAAAGAGCTTGAAAAGAAAAAGAAAAACAAGCTGCTGTCTCTGGTAGCTGACCGCTCAGACTAGGCAGGCAGGAACACGCAGAGATTCCCCTGTTACTTTCCAGGACAGAAGAATCAGATCATCACCATAAAAAGTGATTTTTATTAACAAAACAAAAGATAGACAGTAAAACTCTAGTGGTCCGGCATCCAATGGTCCGGCACTCCTGATGGTCCGGCACCATCTGGAACCCAGAAGTGCTCCGGGCAGCAGGACAATTGGAGCTGCTCTGCCCTGGGCTTCCCGGAGTCAGCTGCTGGTCAGTTTCAACAGCGGCTGACTTGGGGAAGTCTGGGGCAGAGCAGCTGGAATGCTGCCGGGTTGGTCCCACAGTGTAGTGGTCCGGCATCCAATGGTCCGGCACTCCTGATGGTCCGGCACCATCTGGAACCCAGAAGTGCTCCGGGCAGCAGGACAATTGGAGCTGCTCTGCCCTGGGCTTCCCGGAGTCAGCTGCTGGTCAGTTTCAACAGCGGCTGACTTGGGGAAGTCTGGGGCAGAGCAGCTGGAATGCTGCCGGGTTGGTCCCACAGTGCTGAGGGGCGGCTGCTTTGCCCCAGGCCTTGGGATTCAGTCGCTGCTGAAACTGACCAGCAGCGTCAGTTGCGGCGCCCCAGCTGTTCTGTCCCAGGAGTCCAGATTCAGCCGCTGTTGAAACTGATCAGCGGCTGATTCCAGGAAGCGGGGGGCAGAGCAACTCTGCCTCGGGCTTCCTGTAGTCAGCGCTGGTCAGTTTCAGCAGCGGCTGACTTGGGGACGCCTGGGGAAGAGCAGCTGGGGTGCTGCCGGGTTGGTCCCCCATCCACACTCCACTCCAAACCCCTCATAGCCCCCACTTCCGATAGTCCAGCATATCTGATAATCTGGCACCCCCTGGGTCCTAAAGGTGCCAGATTATCAGAAGTTTACTGTACTTGATCAAGCATACTTGATCAGTAGGTGTTACAGAGCAACTAAGTAAAACAAATTAAAACAGAGAAAATCTCTGGGAACAATTCTTAGATAGTGAATGGGATAGGGAAGGCATGGATTCACATGCAGAAGTTCAAACCAAGCAACCAAAATAAAGAAAAATACCTTGATTGCAACTAGATACACATTTCCCTATACTCATAATCCATGCTGATCCATAGTTCCAGGTCCGGTTTACTCCCATGCCCAATATTTCTTATAGGCATGATAATTCTGGTCTCTGCATCTGCTCTCTCTAAGGTGTATGTGTATGTGTATGCAATATGGGTTTCAGATTTTTTCCTTATGAACAGGGACACAAACTAAAGCCTTAAACCAGATATTGCCACAAATAGTCCCCAAAACCAACGAGGTGCAGCTAGTTACAGGATCTGGGCCGCACATAAATAGGCTATATTTTTAGAAACAAAAGTGGAGGGGTTATATGCAGGATTTTAAAAAATGTTTATGAACTCCATATTAAGGTTTCAGCTTAACTTGAAAATGTGCAGAATCATACACGTATTTATGTATAAATCAAACCTGATTCAATGATTCATAGTCATATTAGTAGGTGGCTTGAAAGAAAGAAGTGGCTCCAAAATCTCTGTGAACTACTGCTAAGCTGCACAAGTATTTACATTATGAAACACTATGTAGAAGTCCTTACTCTGACCTTGGAAGAATGTTTCTGCAGAACTGATTGAAGACTTCACTGGAGGAAGTGTTTTACAGTTTCTCAAAGAAACACAATTTCTCTTGGCTAAAGCTGCTTACTTGGAGCAAAGACAATTTCTCACTCTCACCTCTCCGCAAAAGTTTTCTACCTCTGACAAATAAATAAATAAATAAATGCATTATTCAAAAAGTTATTCTCTCTAAAATGTAGCAAAACACTAGTTTAAGGGCTACTATTTTACATGTGCAGTAAAAGAACTTAGTAAAAACAGCATAAGGGTTTCTCTTTTTTTAGCATGACAATGTAGTGTATATACTCAATAGCCACACTAATTAGGTCCATCACAATCATAATTGTAATGGTTCCAAGGAGACTTGGAAGTCTGTTGCATTCAGAACGTATGTACTAAAAAGCATCCAATAGGAATTTAACATCATGGACTACTAATCAAGTCTCCTTAATAGATCTTTAACCTTTCAAAATTTGCAGAGAGAATATGGCCTGCAATCATAACAATAATGCAATCATTGTTCTATAAGCCCATTAGATCACACAAGCTTAGTTGGGTTGAGTGGTGTTAAGGATTCAGTACTAAACCAATGTTACAACCAATAAACCAATCAATAAGCAGCTTGTAGAGCATTAGGAGACACCAATTCTGCAGGTTCCATCTTTGGCTGTGATAAAATCAAGACTCAGAACACTTGTGGTCAATAACAAAACACGATGGCATTTTTCAAAAGAAAAGGAGTTTTAATACCAATGTCAAAATCAAAATTCAACTCAAGTAACAATGCTCTATTTGAGCTTCCCTTATGA